AAGGCAGAATTCACGCAGGAATATTCCTTTGTTGTTTTGTTAAATTCGACATAAATTATACTTATTGACTTTATAAATTTTTATAAATATTAAACATAATCCTTAACAATTACAGAATATCAACAAAAAGCTTTGTACATTTAAGAATTATTATTTTAAACTGTCCAGCTTAAGGGGAAATTCATTTCTTATTTATATTTCCTGATTTCTAAGTAAACAACAGAGCACTTTTAAGGAATATTTGTGATTCTTTAAATTACCTAAGCAAAGCAAAGAAGTAGGTCTGAAATTCGAGCAATTCGAGTCTTCCCCCATTTATTTATGCAATTGTATGAATCACTGGCAAAAGATTTAGTTGGTATCTGCCATCTAATTCGACAATCAACAAAGCAATGGGATGCCCAGCATCCACAAATACCAAGTCATCCTTACACATTCACACAGGGGCAGACAGGCAGGGGGCTCCCTTTCTATGTCCTTTCCAGGATATTCAAATACATTTTGTATACACAGCTATTGAGGCGTGCCCGGTGTGTGTGTGTTTTGTGTGTGTAACGGCAATCATTATTGAGGCAATGATGTGCATTTCATGAATTATCCACGGCAAGATGATGCGTTCCAATGTCGAGCATCGGGCATGTGTGTGTGTGTGTATGCTCGTTGGCTTCCTGCTCAAGGACTCGCCCTTTGCCATCCGGATCCATCTCCCTCCCGACTGTCCCTTGCCCTTTCCCGGACCATACACGGTTGGTTGAGCAATGCGCCGAGGTAAGTAATAAACTTATTGGCCCCATGCCTGTCCGTTGATTGTCCGTTTGTAATACACACAATATGGCAGGATATGGCGCAAGGAGCTGGACATATCCAGGGATGGCCCAACTTATTGATGGCTCATTTATGGATTAATCCAGTTAAAACGAAGTGCTCTAGTTTTCGAAGAGAGTCCGAGAATGAAAATATGATTAATCCTGTGTATGCATTTAGCAAAATGCCAAGGCAATTAGGTGCTTAATTAAGAGTAGCCAAGTTGGATTAAGTTGGTTAATTAAATTGGTTTCCAAATGGTAAAGGTTAATACAAGTTGTACATATTATAAATCAACTATTGTGAAATTTTGAAAGGTAAACAACTCCATTGGACTAACATTAAAGGTCAGAAGGACTTATAAAACATGATTTTTAATATATTTACTTTAACAATAATTATAATCCCTTTAAAATATTATTTATCCCATCCAATTTGGCAACCCCGTTAAGTCGTACCATCTCTAGCAACCAGATTGGCAAAATGGAATTAAGGGTCTGGGTTCGCAGTGGGTAGGACATGGCCTTTGTGAGCCGCCCACTCAAATGTGGCTGTATCATGACGAGCTGGCAATGCCAGCGGACGTTTCATCGTTAAATGTGGAACTGTTAAACAGATAATGACCGACCACACCACACACCGGCGCACACACACAACCAAACAGAGCCACCAACCACCCAAAACCACGGTTCTTCCTCTCCTGTTTCCACCGCAGAACAGATCGAGGAGGTGGCACTGGGCATCTGGCAGTCAACTGACCAGAGGCTTTTGTTATGCTACCCGGCCTTCATAACTGTATCAATGGCGGTGGCCAGCTGGGATGGAGCTCCCTGCTCCTGCTACTGCTCCTGCCAATGATGATGATGATGATGATGATGATTCCACCAACTCTGATGGTGTTATTATTCCGCCTGTTATTTGTTGGTGTTGTCCTGCGGAAACCAGACGACTGTCCTGCTGAAATTCTGATGCATTGAAATATAATTATTGGGAAATGTGCGATTGTCGTTGGGTTTCCGTTTACGTGCTCGCCATTTCGGTTTGGGTTTTGCTTGACGATTATGCATGCACATGGGGAAGAATGGGATGGAAACCAGTGTAGGACATGATTGTTTGTCCTTGTACATGCGATTACAAAGTGAGGCGACAAAATGGGAATGGTCCTTGCTATGTATAAAGGAAATATGATTGGTTTAAGTCTGGGTTTACTTTCTATAGATAATATTTGTTTCTAAATACTTAAACTAAATTTTCAAAATATAAATAGCTAAAATTAAATATTATTCAAGAAAATACGTAAATAAAATCAATTTTAATATGGTTAAATATTATTATAATAAATATTTTTAGTTAAGTTATTTTCCTATTATTTAAAACTACGAAATATTATTATTTAATATATTTTACTTAATATATTTTGCTTTAATTACCATTGTAAGTGCACACACACACACTCTCGCATCGATTTGGCGCAAAGGAATTGATACTCCCCCTCTCGCTTCCTCGCATTCACCTAACGCACGCCCCCCGCCCCCCCAAACTCCCTCGCACGCCATGGCCATGCAATCATAATTTATGCAAACCAAATGACATAACAGTTGCCAGATTATTGCTGTGCATTAAACACATGTACGTATATAGTTGTAAATGTCGCTACATGCACATTCAATTACCATATTAACCGAAACGACTAATTAACTAAAGTTGTATTTACCTCAGAAGTCTCAATTGGCAACCCTCGCACACACACACTCGCATGTCATTGCCATCCGTGTGCATCTCAAATGCAAGACATTTGACAGGTTGAAAATGTTATGTTGCGGCTACGTCTGCGGCTTGCATTCATAATCAGAATGTGAATTAAACGCTCCTCTACACATTCGCACATAATTAACACTTTGAACGCTACGTTTTATAGGACTTTTCGCGATTTTTCCGAGGACAAATTATCACTTTGCATTTTTTCACTTTCTCACCACGCACCGTTATTCGCGCCATTATCGATCGTGCCATCGACGTTATCGATAAGCAGCTGTGGTCAGTGTTGGAAAGCTCGCTAGCTACCATGGCGCACTCTAGCGGGAAATTCAAATCGTGTATATTTGAATGCTTAGTGATAATGTAAATAAAAATCAAGTAATATTAGCTTACATTTTATATTTTTATTCAATGAAGAAAGGGAAAATATTTGGTATTGCCAATTTAATATTATAAATAGTTTTTCTAAGCAAAAATATTTAATTTACGCATTTTAATGGAGAAAAAGACTAAAAATATTTTATTATGTGTATTTTAAAACTAAATAATATTATATAAAATTAATAAAAGAACTTTAAAACTTATTTTATCTGAATAAATTACGTAAATAAATATATGCAAATGATTCATTTTATAAATGAAAGAGACAATTTATAAAGGAAAATACAAATGTTTTAAAATAATTTATTGTTAATTTAAAGCACAATTTTGGTCAGAAGCTTTTAAATTGCGGGCAACTCAAATTCAAAAACCTGCGCGCCAAGTAAAACTCACCATGGCGTTCAAGAAATGCGCAACTTTGACAGTCAGTGTGGGAAAGTGTGAAGGCACCATCGATATCACGAAAGCGATTAATATCTGATAGGAACTAGAAGGCGCTCAAATTTAAAATTCAAAACATATTATGAAGAGGTAGACGGTTAATATTTTTATAATACTATATGTACCTATTTAAATTTAAGAGGACTAAAAAGGAAATAGCACAAAAATGCATTCTAGAATTAAATGTATTTGATTCTACGAAAAATACTATTTAAATTAAGCAAAATTCTTTAGTTCTATGATTTAATATTTTCTATTCACGGACCATTGATTGTTTCTAAAAATATGTATATATTTTTCATATTTATCTATTCATTTATTTATTTACATTTATTTCCCTATTTACGCTTTCATAATTCTTGTCTGGCGTTCAATTTGCGCCCATTTAAAACCAAAGTCAACGGTCTCGTTGGCCAAAAATAAATTCAAGAAATATGGGATAGCCGCTGGGTATTTTACCAACATCTTCACATGCTATAAAGATGCTCAAAGTGTAAACTCAAGGTATGTTTGTATATGCTTAATGCTACCAATCGGCAACCGGTTTCTGCGTTCTTCTGACAGTTTCGAGAAGGCCTAAAGAACTCGATTTGTATACAATTGTGAAAGTCCTCAGTGAGTAGTCCGCCTCCTCCTACCTGTTCCCTGATGACTAACGGGAGAGCAAAAATATTCCCTGTGACATTTTCCTAGCTAGCTCATTTGGGCATTTTCCAAGAACTCACAATTTTCACACAGCGGCAAGAAACAAAGCGAGCAGCTAAATTAATCTATATTAATGCTCTAGGTCATCGAGCTGAGTGCAATGACGTATCAGCATTAAATGCTAGCTGAATGCATTTTAATGCGAACGAGGAACTAGCGTGCTAGACTAAGGAAATAATTTGCAGAAAGAGAGAGAGGGAGAGTTTGAGAGAGAGAGAAAGCTACTAGAGAGAGGGAGAGAAATGGTATTCAAGCTTCAAACAACTAAACAACTTGTTTTCAGTTACACAGAGAGAATATTATGGGGTTTATTTACATTTAAGATTAATGAAAAATTAATTTATATACGGAATATGAATAAAGGTTTAATTTTGGTTTGTATTTTTGGTGAAAACTTAGTGTTTGTAAATATAATATGAATGTTTTTGAATAATATATAGATTCATTTTTCAATTATGCGAAAAATAATATTATGAAATATATAGAACGTCTAGGAAAAACCTAAAACAAACCAATAAAGTAAATATTATCCCAACTGAGTTTAATATATAAGAAAATAATAGAATTCTATAAAAATACAAATTATATATTTATATCTTTTAAAACTTGGTAATATCTTTATTAATATAATACACTATTAAATCCCCTATTTTTTTTCTATGTATGCCGGTAGCTTATTTACACCTCTCCACAACACACACTCTCTTTGAAGAATGTTGTGTGTTTTTTTTTTATTACAGAATTGTTTTAAACTATAGACTGAGAACGTAAAATCCCCAATGTCCGATTTGTTTGGGGGAAAACGTAACGCTGGCAACCGCTCGAGAGACGTCAGACTGGCCAAACAAGTGGGATCCGAGAGAATATTTGCAATATTATTCCGAATCTCCGGTCAGTTGTCCGAGAAATAGCGTGCCGAGCAGTCGCAAAACGCGCACGAGTATTAATCAAGAAACCAAAAGTAAAAAAAAAGATATACAAAAGAATAACAGAGTGATTTTTCCCTCCTAAAAGATACAGATCACGGAACGAAACACAGAAAGATCATACAGAAATTCTTCACTTTTAATTAAGTTTTTAATTAATTAATTGTAAAATGAGTGACCTAGAGCATATTGCTTTGCAAATGGATAAACTACCTCTGGACGATGATAAAACTTTGGCTAAAAATCAAGTGAGTTTTTAGGTAATGGTAAGATAAACACTTGCCTATAAATCACAGCTTTGTTTAGATTGCTAATGAACTTTTCTAAAAAAAATTTAGTACTTATATGTACTAGGTAATAGCTAGTATCTGATAATTGTTGTGTAAATAGAGGATGAGTTGATTCCCGGAGAAGATTAACATTTTTTGGGAAAGAGTGGCAGCTGAAGCGGAAAAAACCACATGAATCTTAGTCATTGAAATAGATTCCCCTTCCGAGCTCCATTAAAGACCACTTTTTGAGTATCTTGGGGTTTTTTACTTGCAACATTGCATGAACCATATAATATATGTATATATAACAAGTTATAGATAGCAATGTCTGGGGATTTCCAGCATAAATCTTAGAGGGTTTTAAGAGATATATAATGGTTTCAGCTTTGTACATTATTGTTTATAAGAATTCAGACATATTTTGATAATAATGTAATAAATGAAACCTAGATTGTCTTATTTTACTATCTATTTATTAGTATTTATTCAAAGTATATGACTTTGAGCTGGATTATCTGTCCATTAAAGTTTTTTTTTTTAACCCCCACAACTATTTTGTTCAGATAAGCTTTATTTACAATTAATGTTTGCCGCAGTGGCTTATCTTTTGCATTTTTTTAATGCCACTGAAAATGTCATTATACAGACTTACAATTCATATATATAAAGATATGTATAAATCACATTAACTATTCAACATAGTTGTGCATTAATCTGAATGCAAAAATATTTAGAAAAAAATTCAAACGGAAGCTGTGGCTCTTACAAACTTGATTTGCAAACAAAAAGCATGTTGATATTCTGGAAATGGTCTCATTTACATTTCTATAGGAAAATATCAACAATCACAGCAATGGCGATGCAATCGATGGACGGACGACACGTAATAATGTTCGAGTGCCCCGAGCAGGTTTGTACCATAACTTACTACTTGTTTATCTCTGATAAAAAATATAAAAAATATATTAAGAAAACAAAAAAACTAGAATCCATATTTTTGTGTGCTTGTCTATATATCTTTATGTAAAACGCTCTTGTGACTAATGGCGCTTAAAACCGCAATCTTTAAATCTATACAATTAATGTAAACCGCATTCTTGTGTGTAAGTAACATAAGCCTTCAAATAACAACTTAATATTGATTGATTTTATTAATTATTTAACAGTTCCCGAAACGGATGATGATGACGACGATCGTCCCTTTGTTAAAGATGGGAGTGGTAATCCCGGCGTGGATGATGGTCTCCTTGGAGGCGTCGGAGGCGGAGGAGGAGGTGGCGGTGGTGGGGTCACTGTCCTCGTACCCAATGGAGGAGGCGGCAGACGACCCAGTTTCTCCTTTCCGGGATACAATGGAACATCGGGTTTTGTGACCATTGACGGTGTGGAGACACCAGTGCCCGATGTGAATGCATATCAGCATAAGAAGACTCTGGCCCAGGGTATGATGGATCTGGCTCTGCTTTCGGCAAATGCCAATCAGTTGCGATATGTGCTGGAAACGAATACTCAGCATCCATACTTTTATCCCAGCCTGATATTCATCTCACTCAGCATTGTGTTTCAGGTAAATAGTACAAGAAAATTATATAATTTAGAATAAGAATCTATATAGTATAAGGGAGGGGAAAATATAGTATCAGTATTTTAGTCCGAAGCTAAAAACTCAGATAAGGAATCATTTGCGACCCTATAAATCATATATATTCTTGATCAGCATCAAGAGGCGAACCGATCTAGGCGTGTCTGGGATAAAAAATTTTTTTTTTGGGATTTTTTCAAAACTTTTTCTCTGGTTAAAAAAATTGATAAAAATTTTAATTTTTTACATTTTAAATTGAGTATGCAGATTTATTAATTTAATAAAAACTAACATAGTACCGTTTTCCAAATTAAAATTAATGCCTTTTTGACTCAGTTATGAGATTTTTAAACTTTGAAAAATTGTCATATTAAAATAGGGATAAATATTTATTCGAAGAATGGAAAAATTTTAAGCTTAGTTTTGATTGATATCCGACTCTATCCTAAAAGGGTATAAATAATTCGGCTTCCCGAAATAAGTTTCCTTTCTTGTTTATATTTTGTGTTTGGTTTTTCAGCAAAATTTTAAGCTATTTTAATGTAAGCTCATGGTCTTAAAAGCTATTTTTCAAGTGTTTATCAAAAAATGTTTATAAGAGAAGATAATAAAATCTGTTCAAATATACAACATATTTTTCATAGAAACGCGTTACGAAATGATTAATGAATTTAAGGGAAATTATATTGACTTTTTCCCTGTCAAAAAATCTTACTAAAAGAAAGATATTTAAGGATTTTAGTTATAAAATTTTTAAAGATTATAACTCATTGATTTTCTTCTTGAAATATAAAGAAATTATTGTTCATGAATGAACAACAGCTAAGAAAATCAATTTATAATATTATAATACGTTAAAAACCAACAAAGATATATTTTTATTTTTATATATTTGTACTTATACTATACTTAGTATATTCATAATTTTTGTCATTTATTTTTGGCATTATTGATATTTATGTATATTTTTTTCGTCGCTTCATTGCAGATCGCTGTCGGCGTGGGACTTATTTGGAATGGCCGGTACAACATTAAGAATGAGCAAGAGATCTGTCGGGCGAACAGAATCAATAATTACACAGTCATTGGCATTTTTATTGTGACAGTGGTTAATGTCCTGATATCGGCCTTTGGTGTTGCAGAACGAGCCCCCGTTGTCGTGAATACTACTTAGTTCAGGATCTACTTTTGTATATATCGTAGATTCCTTTAGAGATTAGTATTTAGCCAGTTAAGCACAATCACATGTTTAGGAAATATTCACAGCCTCACCTCACCAGTTAGTTCTTTTGTTAAAATTCACACAAGCGCCTCATTTTTATACATGTAACAACTGAAATGTGATAAATATAATGAATCCCATGATATTAAATTAATGCAAAAAGAGCATTTTATTAAAAATAAAAGTTGATTGTGGTTTTAGCTCTCGTTTTGATTTATTTGTTCAATATTCAATATTATTTTGAATTTTCTGGTTACCGCCAAACTATCGTTCAGTTGCGATAGTTTTAAATCGGCAATTTCACCAAACTAAAACTTCACCAAAATTGTTATCAACACTGAAACTGAGGTAAGTTGGCAGCCCCAACAGCTGTTTCTGGTTCGACTACAAAAATAAATTGTTGAAAATTTTAGCATTTGCTGTTTAAAAACGCTATTTTAAAATGGCCAAGATTATTAAGGCGGTAAGTCGGGATAAATATATATAAATAACTATTTGGAGTATGGGAACAACAAGTGTTATCTGCCAGATTAGTTGAAATTCCGTCAATTGTTATGGTTATGTCATCGCTTCCTTCTTTGCAGTCCACGGGCCTGACCGGATTGGCCGTGTCCACCAATCCTCACCATACGCTGAGTGCTCTGTATGGAAAGATCCTGCGGGCGGTGTCCAAGATGCCACAGGAAGCCAGCTACAGGAAGTACACTGAGCAGTTGGTCAAGCAACGCGCCGATGCGGTGGCTAAGGTTTTATGCCTTTTCCCTTCTTTTAAAACTATGCATTTAATACTATTCAATTATTTTAGAACAAGGACATTGCTGGCCTGGAGAAAGCCGTGGGCTGTGGCCAGGTTGAGGAACTAATTGTCCAGGCTGAAAACGAATTGGTTTTGGCCCGCAAAATGCTTGGCTGGAAGCCCTGGGAGAAACTGGTCCAAACGGCACCTGCCAAGCAATGGGACTGGCCCCCGGCACAGATCCTTGAGCCCAAGGTTTAAGAGATCTACAGTCCTAGTCCCCACTTAGTACTAATTAATCTACGGCAAATGGAAAAGAGAGAAGAGAGAGAGAGAGCAATAAATCCGTTGATAAGCCAGCTGCAAAATCAACAACAAAATTATAGTGCTTCCGATTATTAAGCTCGATCCGGTTCAGTTTGTTTTCACCATGCGTGCTCTTCGGTACCTCCTGTTACTGCTGCTCCTCGTTGTTTGCAGCGCCTTTGTGGCTTCATCTGTGCCCCGCCAGCGTCGTCAGATCGATTTGACGCTCTCCGCGGAGCATGACGACAAGGACGATGAGACTGAACTGGCCCTGGAGGCAATAGCGGGCCTGTGGCAGAGCGCCGACAGTCGGACGAAGGTGGATGGATCCGCCAGTCTGGTGCATCGCACCATGGGCGGCACGCAATCGGGTATGGGCGGCAATACCAAATACCAGGCTCGCATACATCTGCACCATGACTATAAGCCACATGCGTATCCCTCGTAATCCAAGGTTCCGAGCAGGACTTTCGTCTGGGACTGCGTGTTACCTTCGAATAGCAGGACAGGCGAAACCGGCGGGATGGATGGGAGTTCCAGACATAGCCACCCGTTGAGGGAAATCGCTCGATTGCGTGTAGACGAGATAACATTTTGACCTTCCCAGCTCCAGTTCCAGCTGCTGCTTGTGCACAATATACAGAGTACATTTGTGAATATACAATATTTTAATACCCGCATATTGTTTGCTTTATTGATTCCATTTCTCGACCGTGAAGGCAGCAGCGCAACAACTTTTAGCTTAAGATTACAAATGACAACAACGAAGTTCTGCACAACAAATAGGAGGGATAAAGGAGGATGAGTAGGAGGAAGAGCAGGGAGGGGTTAATATAAATACAAAGCCATTTCTTAAGTATAAATGCCATTAGTCAACTTGGTGGTGGGGCGACGGGTCATTCAATTAGCATGGATCACCCAGGAGAAGTGGTGCCCGTGAGGTAGGTTATTTATGAGGAGTTTCAAGAGTTGTTTGTAACTGGAAACTATGGGTTAAGTTAGGCTTTCCTTAAGTGATTCCAAAATGAACTAAAAGAACACATTATTTGCAAGTCTTTGTTTCTTATTTGATTGAAATAATATTTTCAACAAGAAAGTCTTAATATCCTTTTTAGTTGGATACATATTTAACAATAAATTAGGTTTTCATTTAACTAATTAAAGTCTAGAATGATATCCTTTAACTATGAGTTTGTTGGAATCTTCATAAATGTTAAGCTTTTTTCTTCTTACGACTGTAAACTTAAAGAACCATTTTGTTATTGCATTTACTACCTCTAAAAAATATTTAAAAGTACAACTTCAAAGGATTTCTTCTTGAATCCATGGTTAATCAAAAATAAATTGAGCTAATATACCATTTAAAATATTTGCTTAAATAAGCAATAAGAACTAAAAACAAATCCTATTAAAGAAAAACAAACACTAGCTTTAGTTTCCAGTTCAAAATCTCTCTTAGAAACTCCCCGAAATCTTCCCAGAAACTACCTCTCTTACCAACCACAATTCTTGGTAACAAATAATGCTTGGACCCGGCGTCCCCTTCTGAGGTTAATATCATTGCACCCTGGTTAGGAGTGTAGTCCGTTCATCTATCCAATATCCCTTAGTTTAGGCTGACGGTCACACCCTGATTCGCCTGCTCTGTGAGCTCCTGGACGACAAAATCGCGAAATTCCTGGTAGGCAACATCAATGTCTACATTGTTGATGATCTTGTGGAAGTTGCCCGCGGTTAGGCCGTAGTCCAGCTCCACCTGAGCGGCGTTCAAGCGCTTTCGCAGACTCTCCTCCGTCTCGGAACCACGTAGACGCAGTCTGCGCTCCAGCTCCTCAATGCTTGGTGGATTGTTGAAGATCAAAATGGGATTGAGATCCGTTTGTCGGATCTGCTCCACGCCCTTCTGTTCAATGTCCAGGATGCAGACCCTGCCCTGGGCCTGGATCTCGCGAACGGCTGCCTTGCTGGTTCCATACAGATTCCCCGAGAACTCGGCGGTCTCGATGAACTCGTTGCCGGCAATAGCGGCCTCCATTTCCGGCCGCTCCACGAAATAGTAGTGAACGGCATGCTCCTCGCCTTGGCGGGGCTTCCGCGTGGTATGTGAGATGCTAAATCCAAAGGTATTGGGAAAATCGGCAAAGAGGCGCTTCAGGAGCGTGCTCTTGCCGGACCCAGAGGGACCGCAGAGGACGAGGGGGCGTGGACCGGCGGCGGACATCTTCTTGCTCGTCAAGGTTGCTGCGGTGCTGCTGCTAAGCGCGCGGTTTACAATGAACAGAAAGCTTATCATCGCGTGGCCTTTTATTTGTCGCCGATACCAATACAAGAATAATTGCTAAAAAAGCTGGTTTTGTTCTTGTTTTTCGTGTTTGTTGTTCTTTTTTTAGACTAATTAAAGTATGACCGTGGAGACAAAAAAAACTGGCGGTTTCCCAAAAAGAGGTTTTTCTCCTTAACGGCAACTGGTCACACTATAACCTATTGCAAGCAGTTGACGCAACTCGGTAAAGCAGTTCACACCAGTGCTGTAAAAATTCTTCCGGAAGTGCTGCAAATCTTTACATTTGCCCGCCATTGACACAAATTCGAATCGAAAGTGGGACACCAGGCTAAGGTTAATGCATTCAAAAGACAAACAACGCACATCAACAGGAAACTAAAACTTCGGCTCTAAGTCAACTAACTAGGGGCGTGGTCAATAAGGAGGCGTGTGTACGGTGCATGGCTAATGCTTACGCTGTCTGGCGGGTAAAAGGCCACGGGCACAGATATTCCGGGCACAGTCTCCTCCGGAATGGCCAACTATTATCGCCGCAAGAAGCCCGATGCGGTGTTCCTCAACGCCAAGCCTCTAAATAGCGCCAATGCCCAGGCCTATTTATATGGAGTGCGTAAGTACTCCATTGGTTTGGCCGAGCGCCTTGATGCGGACTATGAAGCGCCGCCAATGGACCGGAAGAAGACCTCGGATAGCACCGCCTCCAATAATCCGGAATTTACGCCGGTGAGTTAAGATTGTTTCTTGCTAAAGGATCTTTTTTAAAAAGAAGGGAATAGAGTGTATTTTATAGGAACATATCTCCGGTCAACTGGTTCCTACGGATTATTGGCGTCTTGCCCATCGTTAGACGTGGTCCCGCCCGTGCCAAGTTTGAAATGAACTCAGCTCCATTTATTTACTCTGTGGTTTTCTTCGTACTCCTGGCGGTGAGTTGGAAAGTAAAATCTTTAAAGTTCAGAAAGTTCATTTATATAATCTTTAACTCCTAGTGCTATGTGGGATATGTGGCCAACAATCGCATCCATATTGTGCGCTCTCTAAGTGGACCCTTCGAGGAGGCGGTGATTGCTTACCTTTTCCTGGTCAACATCCTGCCCATTATGATCATACCCATCCTTTGGTGGGAGGCTAGGAAAATTGCTCGACTATTCAACGATTGGGATGACTTTGAGGTGCTCTACTATCAGATATCTGGCCATAGCTTGCCCCTAAATCTGCGACAGAAGGCCGTGTACATTGCCGTGGTGCTGCCCATCCTCTCGGTCCTGTCGGTGGTCATCACACACGTAACTATGTCGGATTTGAATATCAATCAGGTGGTTCCCTATTGTATCCTGGACAACCTGACGGCGATGTTGGGCGCCTGGTGGTTCCTCATCTGCGAGGCCATGAGCAATACGGCTCACCTGCTGGCGGAGAGGTTCCAGAAGGCCTTGAAACACATCGGACCCGCTGCCATGGTTGCGGACTATCGGGTTCTGTGGCTCCGTTTGAGCAAATTAACCCGGGACACAGGCAATGCCATGTGCTATACGTTTGTTTTCATGAGTCTATATCTCTTCTTCATCATTACTCTTTCGATTTATGGCTTGATGTCACAGCTATCGGAGGGATTTGGCATCAAGGATATAGGACTAACCATTACGGCTCTGTGGAATATTGGATTGCTTTTCTATATCTGCGATGAGGCTCATTATGCCTCGGTGAATGTGCGAACTAATTTCCAAAAGAAACTCCTAATGGTGGAGCTGAACTGGATGAATTCGGATGCCCAGACGGAGATTAATATGTTTCTCAGGGCCACCGAAATGAATCCCTCGACCATCAATTGTGGTGGTTTCTTCGATGTGAATAGGAGTTTATTTAAGGGTCTGATCACCACAATGGTCACTTATTTGGTAGTGCTGCTCCAGTTCCAGATCAGTATTCCCACTGATAAAGGTGATTCGGAGGGCAGCACCAATATTACGGTGGTGGATTTGCTAATGGACAGCTTGGACAATGATATGACCCTGATGGGTTCCACGACTACCCGAAGTTCAATAACAAGCACTAGTAGAACCGCAATGGCACCATCGATTTCCAAGCAAAGGGGCAGAAAGGGTTGAGTATAAATATATACTTTGTAAAGCGTTAGAAAAAATATAGAAATCAAATATTAAGCAAAAGAAAACATATGTGAAATAAAATCTACAAAATATATATCTGTAGTTGCGGCCAAAAATAATAAAAGCACTAAAAACTTGTTGTTAGATTTTAAATTACAAGATTTTTTAGGTAAAGTGGAATGATTTCTTAAAGTTTGCAAAAATATTATTTGTGCTAAGAAGTTTAGAGGTCTGCTACCGTTTTACTGATAATATTTACTTATCAAAAGTCTCTCTTCAACAATATATGTTTCATATTTGCACTTTTATTTGATATTAATATTATTTTAATTTTTTTTGTGCTTAAAATATTGCAAGTTAGAGGAATTTAAGGCCAATATAGTATTTAACAAATAATTGCTAATTAAATACAGTTTTAAATAATTTTTGTTAAATAAACTTCTAGGAAAAACTTTCGCTGCTCAGAATTTAGAGTCCCGGGTTCGACTCCTATCAGTGTTTAATTTTTTTTCTTATCTTTTTCTATATCTTTCATGTTTTTTAAAACTATTTTTCTTCGTTGATAACATAATATTTAAGTGCTGAAGTGAGTAATGCGGCTTACCGACTTTAATAGTTAGTTTTACACAAAAATAGTTTCCATTTTATTTTTGCCGGCAAACGAACCCACAAGATCCCCTTTCGATTTCAGGCACTGCCTTGGGGGGGATATAGACGGTATCTCTTTTAACTATTAATATGCCCCTCGATCCATATCCATTGGCTATCTAAAATAGTATCTCTGCTATATCCATATCACACTCAGTTTTGCCATACAGAAACTGTTGGGCAAATTGCAATCAAGACACCTGATGGGGAAGTTCCAAACAAAAATTCTATATCTTTGGGATCAGAGGATCTAACACTGACCATCTGGAGATTCGGTTAGGATGTGCTTATAACCATTGCTGCCCAGATACATGTGCTCGCGTTGGAAATGATAGGGTATCTGTAAGATAAATAGATTTATTAGATATTGTATATAAATATAGTTTACAACTTACAGCTCCTGGTGCTGGACAGGGAATAGCCACAGTGGCAATCTCCCGGAGTTTGTTCATGGTCCTCAGGCTCTGATAGAAGCTGTGCATTACATACCACTTGCAATAATCCATACAGATCATGCTGTAGCATATTATAACTGGAAAATAATAGATTTAAATATATTAAAATAATTTTAAATCTCAAATTAATTATTTCCCACTCACAGTATGGCACTTGACCGCCTAGAAACTGAACCACCTTGGTGTCCCTCAGCATAAACACCAGTGCTCCCAGAGCAATCATCAGCAGGAACTCTACGATTAGCCAGGGTATAATCAAGCCAGGACGATTCTTGTAGACCCCAAAGAACAAGGATATGGCACTCAAGGCATAGGTACCAGCAATGCCTGCCATCACATAGAGGACATTTTCAGTGGCCGCCGCCAATTGAGCTGCTGTCTGCAGTCGCAAATCATTGTGGAATGGCGACATATTATAGAAACCATTATCCTTTTGGTCCAGGATATCCAGCTCCAGGACATGACACATCTGCTCGGCATGGGCCAGGCCAAGAAGCACCAGGAAGAGGGCACAATGTGAGATCAACTAAGGGCGGAGAAGTAAAAGGTATTTATTAATGTTTATAAAATAAAATTAGCATTTAAAAAATATATATAAAATATGTTATTTAATTAAATATTAATTTTGTATACATATATTATTAAATTGTTTATAACAATTCGTTTTATTATACACTTAAACTCGCAAACAACCTTTGCCAACGATCTCTCAACACTGCTACCCCTTGCTCTGCTTGCGATAACCGACAGCGTGTCCCATAATTCTCAACCACTTCTAGCTGCTCTCGCCATGACTTCGCCTGTACCGACTACCGAGTCTTTAAAAGGGCGCTCGTCCTGGCACGTTCCCGATCACGGAACTTAAGTGCAGACGCATTGCGCCGCAGGAGCGTCTCCTTCGCCGCTCGGCGGGGGCGTGCGTTCCATTGCCGCCTTTGATGGCTCCTTGCGCGCCCAGTGGGGTATGGCTTTGCATATCCAGTGCGTAATTTTTGTCTTTGGGGCATGCGGCTGCACCTCGAATGGGTCCGCTTGGATTGCTCGGGGATTCCCAGAGTCCACCTGCGTGCCAGTGGTCCTGTGCGCTGCGCCCCGCCTTAGAAATCAATCTTGATACTCTTATATAAGGATTCCTTGTGATATTTTTATGTTATTTAGAGGAAGTCATATAAGGCAAAGTTATCTGAGTACCAGTTTTAATGTTCCTTCTTTAACTATAATTGTCACACCTTGTTTTTCCCCCAGGTAAACACAGTTTTTCCTACATTTTCCACTCACCAATTGATAGATGCTGGTCAGCAAGGCTGTGGTCCTTAGATTTCTTGGTGAAACCGGAGCCATTAGCATTTCCCAGGTGCGACGGCAACAGCATTTCCATTTGCATCCAGCGGCGGATGCCGCACTCACCGACGGCAGCAGCATTTTCCACGGAGTTTTCCCTGGCTTTTCCCTCAATCAATTTATGGATTTTTCCCGCTTTGGCCGCAGCTAATCAGTTGAAGAATGCGTCGCAACTGTTTCCGCGGCTGTTTCGTCATGCAATTGAATCGAAGAAATATCCAAAGGGTGGGGTTTTGCTGCTGGCGGTGACCTCGTCAGAGGGGGTTGGGCAAGGTGTGTTTGGCACCCACGCAAAAACAAACTTTCCGGGAAGCTTTGGCCTGTGGTTTGGGCCAAACTGCACTGGTTGAACTCACCGAAAAAAATGTGAGAATAGAAGGACAAGGTCTGTCAAATGTTTTGACTCGCGGGAGAGCTTTTTCCCCAGTGTTTTGTGGGGTTTTAGGGAAGGGTATCTTAGCTATGAGATGGGATTTGATTATAATTTGTTAAGAAATAAATTAGCAATAATTTAAAGATAGTATAAGTTATTTCTGTTCACTTTAATATATATTTAGGGAAGGTATATCTAAAAATGTGAAAGAAAACACAGACAAATGATCTGAAGCTGGACTAAAACATAGGTAAGATTTTAAGCTTATATATTTTGGCTAAAAATTTAAATCCTAAAAATCTTTTTGATTGTATTTTTTAAACACTTAATCTTAGTTTCCACTAAAGAGTATCTATATTTTCGTCTTGAGTTGATATTATCAAACTTGGTAAACTTTCTGTTTGGGGGTTGTTTTCCCTTCTTGAAACCGCGCAGATGTTTATCACCCCCAAAACAGTAAGCTTTTTGGCATTTCAAAGCTTCCGCCAGAGTTGCCACTCATTCGCCAGGACCTTAGGCAATTAAAGTTGGCTAGGGACTTCCCCTTTTACCCGACTTCCTTCCCCACACCAATATTGACCGACCCCCATCCATTGGTATGATAAATTTTTGCATTTTAAAAGTCAATTTACACTGGAACTATAAAAATGTAACATAAATTCTGCCAAAGCAGGCCATAAAACTCCGGCAGTCGGCGCAGAAAGAGAATCAAAGTCGTGTCTTTGCCACTGGGCAACCGGCAGAAACCAAGGAAACCTCCTCATCATCATCATCATCATCATCAATGATCATTTTGCACAGAGAAAATTTTATAAAATAAATAACTGGTAAGCCTCTTTATAAGAAAACTAAAGAACTTCCCAAGAAGCTTGTGAAACTTTATTTAAACAAACTTAAAATATTTTAAAACCTTTTTATTATTTAATAAATAACCCTACCAGTTTCTTCTTTAATTTTTCGCAGTGCCTGCAACCCAATCTTATGGCGCTCCCTCTCAGAGTTGGAAGCTACTTGTGGGCCTAATTGATTGTTTTTCTACGAGCTTGGAGCTGGAAGCTCGAAGCTGGCAAACTTCTGGCGAGGATCGGGCTTTGGGATCGGTCCAGGGATCATCTCAACTCACAATGTTGGAACCCATTCGGATGAGATGATGAAGACCTCAGGGGCAATATATGGCCGAGTGCGTTGTTGTTAGCGGCTTGTTATCATTGGGCGTGTTTTATTAACTTTTAAGCTGCCATACACGCGAGGGGCCATAAAAAAGTGCAACTGCCGTGAAAGCCAGCCAAGCAACTGAAAACTGCAAAAGTCAATTAAAAATTTTTTACATTTGTTTGCACACAGAACGGAACGGAACGTAACGCGATTTCGGTTTCTGTTTCTTGTTTCTTGTTTCCATCCTGGCGCGATAATCATAACTGCAAAAAAGTAAGAAAACTACGCGCAGGCGTCGCCCGTCAATAATTTATGGCCCCAAAAGGATGGATCTTACCGGGGGTTAAGTGTGTGCATAGGGGGAGAGGGGGGCTAGGTAGGGGTGTTGCTGGGGTACAGGTGAGCTGCTGGGGCACAGGTGAGCCGGATAGCCGGCAGGCTGGTGTATTGAAATATCATCTCGCAACCATTTGCCGTTCAATTTGCGTTCGCAACGCTCTTTTGATTGGTTTTTCCAGCCCATCGCCCTCCGTTCTCCGGCTGTGATCCTCGCGATTCCACTACAAATTGATTGCCTTAAAGTAACTTGTAAAATGTATCTAAGAGATGCACAATGAGAAACTGGGGAACTTGAGAGATAATACATCTTCTAAATTTAGAAAAGAAATCAGAAATTATTTTTGTTATTCATAAAAAATTTAAGTTTTGCTCTAAACATATTATTGCATACATATTCTTAGAATTTTTCTACTTTCTATATTTTTTTTTTTGCGGAGAGATTTCCTAAATATTATAAAAGGTAATTTAAATATAGAATTCAGGGTACTAAAAGGCTTTATTTATTATTCTATAATCATGTTATAAATATGTTTTACCCTTGAAGGGTATTAAAATTTTAGTCAGACGTTTGCCATATAAAAAATATGTTATATATTCTTGATCAGTATCAATATCTGAGTCGATATAGCCATGTCTTCTGGGCGTTGGTATGCAAGCTACTCTCTTAGTTTTAAAGCTATGTAAATGATATACTCTTAATAAATATAATAAGTCAAAATGGGCCGGATCGAACGACTATATATATATATATATATAGATGCCATCGGAACGATCGTTTACTCTATATCGCCTCTTTTCACTGCCTCTGTCGCTCCCACTCTCTATTGCTCTCTACGCCTTTCCCTAGAGGTACCTCTTACGCTCTCGCTCTCTTGCTCTCACTTTCTCTGTTCTCTCCACCTGGGACTATAAATAGAGGCGCTAAGGCCGCGCGCGCCTCAGTCTGTCCTAGGGGTACCTAGTGTTAACATCTCAAGTGATAGTGCAAGTGATCAGCCTTCGACCAGAAAAATATGACGTGGCCAATGCAATATCTATATGGATGAACAGGAGGATGCTTACTTTGATGATATCAAGATTATAACTCTACATTGGAAGGCATTGAGCAATGACGAATATGGATGCTGGGGTAAGTCTTAACCATGACAATTATATTATGTATAACTTAATTATAACTTAATCACGAATATTACTTAATCTTACGATAGTTACAAAACTTACCCTTCTAGGGTATAATAATTTTAGTCAGAAGCTAGCAAAGCATTGAAGGAATCATTTCCAATACTATGTATCATACATATATATTCTTGATCAGCATTAAGAGCTGATTCGATCTAGACATGTCCGGAAAAATTATTTTTTTTAATTTTTTCAAAAATTTATAATAAGATAAGGGGTTACATCGTTAAAATTTTCATAAATTGACAATGCATTAATGCATTTTTGGCTTAGTTATCATATATAGCATATTCGAACCAATGATAAAAAAATATATATCATTAAAAATCTAATCTATGAATTGGTGTATGGTACAATACTTCAAGAGATTTACAATATTACTTAAAGCAACTTAAGTTAAGAGTTCAAGAACATCCTCTTAAAGTCTTGTTAAACCCACTCTTACATTTAGAATGCATTTAATTTTTAAAACATCAATACTTTTCCCTAAGTGTAGACTACCCTTGGTGTTGTTGTGGTGTTTTCTGCCGCTTCCTGGGCTCCTCTTTCAGCAAAAAACAGAAGCAACATTACAAATGTGTGGCGTTATTGCCACGGGGGAGGAGTCTGGGAGTCAGGAGACAGGAGCATCGACTTCTTTTTGATTAAAAAGAGGAAAAAGGCCGAGAGGAGTGGGAGCTGAAATAGGAGTTGCATTCGAAGTTGGACTTCGTGAAGGGGGTTGTGGGGGGATTGAGGTGCTGTTGGACTGGCCAAAAGCAATCGACGTTGTTAACAAGCATTTCAGCGCATGACAATTGGCATGCACACCTCCGGGCCATTAATATGCAACCGATGCTGACACATTTGGAGCTGAACTCAGTTGCAACTATCCAACGAGGCATTCGTTTAGTTATTTAATCACAGAAAATCCAACGAACATAAATAACATTTCCCCGACTTATTTGTACAATTTGTTTGCCTGTTTTGACAGTCCCAGGTTTCCAGGCATTTTCGATAACTTTGCTTGGGATATATGATATGAAAGTTGCTGAGGAGGTTTCCAAGAAGATTGCATCGGGGAGTTGATCTTAGGGAAAAGGAATGCAATTACAGTGGCATTTAATAGGCGTCTGATGGGGTTCTGAAAGTAATTAAAGCAATGGAATCCGATTAATATGGGTATGAGGAAGGGGATATTAATTGCAGTGTTTTTCCTTAGTTTTACAAAATTTCCGTAAATCTTTTAAGGCCCTGAAAGTATCTATAAATATCTTCTGTAAGACAAAGCCCTCTTAACATTTCCCTCTTTATATCCCTGCGAATCCTTGACATCCTTCCCCTCCTATCAGTTTCATAATTTCGCTAAGCATTTCGCACCTCTGACTGAATCCTATCCCCAATCCAAGCATTGTCACGTTTCAGGATTCGCATTTTGACGGCAAATATCAATTGTAGCACATATTTGCATAGGCCAAACACGAAAGGGGGACTTGTATCTTCCCAAAAATTTTCAAAGAAGGAATGGCAATGTATTGTCATCTCAACGTTTTGGGGATACATTTGCACATGACTGACTTTTGCCGCTGATTTTTGCGGTCTCGCAGTGAAGGAGATGTTCATTGTGAGTTGTGATTAAAATTGGACTTCAGGGATGCTTAAAATTATTACAGTTAAAAAACAAGGTTAATAAAGTACGATCTAGTCTTTTAGGAATAGGTAAAAAATTACTAAATTTTAAAAAGGATTTCATACTTTATATGCACTTTATTAAACTTTCCCTCTGTTCCCTTACTATTCCTTTTAAATTCTTTAATCAATAATTCCTCTCAAACAAAAATATAGAAATTATATACAAATTGGAATGAAATATTTCACATTATTATGCAACCTATAAATTTGATTGAAATATCTAATCTCTCTTGCCAAAAAGGACATATTGCCAGCACTGACATTGCACCCTCCTGTAGCAGCAACATCAAACCCCGCAGCAACATCAAACATCAGTTGCTGCAACAGCAAACAAAACGAGTGAGAAAGCCCTCCACCCACTCACTCGAATCTCAAGGGTGTGTTCAATTGTGTCAATTTAACGCCTTTTATGGCACACCAACCGCCGACACCTCCCCCTCTTGGCCCACATTCCACCCCCCTGTTAGCACCCCTGTTTCTGAATGAGTTGCTGCTGCTGATGTTGCTGCTGCTGATGTTGCTGTTGCTGCTGATGTTGTTGCTGCTGCTGCTGCACGTTGGGCATATTAATTATTGCATGGCCAACGGATGATTCAAATAGATCGCTGCGAGATGCTAGCTGCAACTGTTGTTTAACCCACTCGATGGCACAAGTGTTAAT